TACTCAACCGTACCCTTACCTAATGCCCTCCCCCACAAAGACACCATTACCAGATCTTTTAAGGATCCCATATTAGGGAAAAAATCAAGGAGTCTAATTGTGGTTCTGAACTGGGTCTCCCTGGGTGTGGTAAGTTTTGTAACCCCTCTAATGAGTTGCTGTGTTTCCTCCTATGGGTTTATTGCACTGCATTCCAATTTAAGTCATGTCACTGACCACTGGAGCATCTCCTAAAAAAGCTCAAACCACATGGTTCAAATGAGGCCAGTACGGTTTTAACACCGTACACAATAAAACGACTCTGAGGCCCTGACAACGTGATGATTTTAATAGAAGGCGGCCTAACGAGGAACATGGCAGCACAAATGACCAGATGGGCTGAGGGGGAAAAATGTCAACGTTAACCAAAAAGTTTGTAAAAGTTAATAATGGAGGTTTTTTTCTCTCTGTAATGTTTTTATTAACAATGAGGGATTTATTGATATGTGGGTTTTCTCATATTTCTTTTTGTCTAAGCTTTAAATATTAAACTCGGGGAGCAAAATGGGAACATCAGAATATTTTTTATCAACTGCAATTATTCACCAGTAATAAACGGTTATATCACTTGACAACATAATGAGCTATAATAGGATCAGTACAGTATAAATTATTACACCCACCCTCCTCTGGGCAAACACTTTCTCTAATGCCGTCGTATGATAAAGTCCATGCACGCCTAACGTGATCGCAGTGTCCCTCTCTATTTTCAGCCTGCCCACCGACTGTGTCTGCTAATTTCTATATGAATATTTTTGGTGCGCGCTGTGTGTGTGAGAGTGGCATGCTGTAACATGTGTAGTGCTGAAGCTTGAGTGGAGCGGTGGCTGCATGTAACAAGAGGAGATGACTGGGCCATGTGGCCCTCAGTGTGGTGCTAAAAACAGCCCAGCAGCTGTGTGTGTGTGTGTGTGTGTGTGTGTGTGTGTGTGTGTGTGTGTGTGTGTGTGTCTGAGAGGTGAGTAAATGAAACGCCACCTGACCATGAGCAAAAAAAACGAAACATTGGAGTAACAGATAACTAATCAAACACGCATCAGAAATCTTAAAACGGTCATTATTGTCACACCAGTCCTTTTCTCGGCCCTGTTTCATCTTCAGTTCTGCGAACGGTCAGAAATCTGGGCATTGATTTGGATCAGTTCACCTTCGATAAACATGTTCGTTGTCTTATAATGCTTTTATCATCTTGTTCTGAAATGGAAATTATCATTATTTATTTTTGACGTGGCTCGATTGTAACATTTTGTTGTTCCTTGATTGCTTAAAAGCTGTCCAGAGTGCTACTGCGAGGCTTTTCACCCGGCCCGCTAAAAGACTCCATGTGACACCAGTTCTGTCCTGTTTTCATTGGCTCTCTGTGATACTTCGTATTCAGTTTAAGATTTTGGTGATGTCTTTCAGAGCTCTTCATGATGTGACAGGTCTGCTATGCATTTGAAGTGAGCTGATCAGTGTTTGTTGGATGTATCTTGGTCCAGGATAAGGACAGAAGTGGATTGTGCTTTTGAGGTTGTGGACACTGAAGCTTAAGACCAACCTGTGCAACTTTACTTACTTAGTAGCTCCCTTGATGCTACTTATAAGCAGTCCATCTGGTTCTGCTACAAGTGACTGGAATATTCACTTCTCAGCCACAACATGAAAACCATCTGCCTTCTTTTACACAGGTTTCACTACATTGGGGTGTACACAAAAGACCTCTGCGGTTTACTCTGGTGTCTGGAACCAGGACAATGGCAACTGATTTTTAGGTCCTGTGCCAAGTAGGACTTCTGTGTATTGGGCCACTTCTTCTGGTGCATCTTGCCCCCAGATGCTGGGCTGATTTGGGAGTTAGGAGGCTGAGCTACTCTTTTCTTGCAGTTTTTGTGTTGACCTTTGCTGTCTTTATTGTAGTGGATTATGCTTTTTACAACTTCCCCTCAGATGTGGTCCAACTGCAATAATGTTTGATTACAAATAAGATGAAGCGACTGGGTATCTAAACTGTTTATCGTGTCTGCTCATTAGCAGAATGTGCTTTTGAAACCATCATTAGTGGAACATATTTTTCATGTCTACCACGACATAAATCCCACCTGCCTTATCGTCATCAAAGCAGACCTGACCTATTGTGGCATGTCCAGTGGGTTGCATGGTTGGCGGACTGGAATCTGGGAGGGGTCTGATGAAGGGTTAAGGCATTGGGTTCTTTATCGGGATCCTTAGATCTGTAAATTGTCTGGTTAGTATATGTGTCAGAAGGCTAGGATGTAACTTTTTCCAGCAGAACACTGAATTGTTATGGCCCAATGTTTTTTTTGGAAGTAATATTGCACTTAATTGTATTTCTCAGTAGTCTTTGTTAATCAGACATTTCAATTGTTATAAAGGGACAATTAATTCTATGACTCTGGTGGCATCTGTCATTTTTTACAGTGTGGTATGTTGGAGAAGCAGTTTATCGGCAGCTGAGAGGAAGAGGTTGGATAAACTCATTAGGAAGGCCAGCTCTGTTCTGGGATGCACCCTGGACCCAGTACAGGTGGTGGGAGACAGAAGGACTCTGGCCAAAATAACATCTCTGATGGACAGAGTCTCCCACCCCATGCATGTAGATGTTGCTGAACTGCAGAGCTCCTTCAGTGACAGACTGCTGCATCCTCGATGCATGAAGGAGGGTTTCCGCAGGTCCTTCCTCCCTGCAGCTGTCAGACTCTGAACTGCTCCCAACAAACATAGATGTTTACAAGTTAGTTAATTAACCAATTCGCACTACAACCTGGTTTGCCTCTTACCTGTAATTATTTTTATTTAATTTAATAACTGTACAGTACTCTCTGTTTATAGTAACCATTGTCCTTAATGTAAATATGTAAGAAAAATTGTGTATGTTTCTGTTCTGTGTCCTGTGTACTGTTTGTTTGTATATTTGTCTTTTTGGCTGCTGTTACAACCAAATTTCCCCTTGAGGGATAATTAAAGGATTATTCTATTCTATTCTATTCTATTCTATTCTATTCTAAGACTGTAGTTCACTATTCAAATGTTGAAAAGGTTTAAAAATTAGTGGTGAATATAAGACTGAAGTATGATTATTGATCTATATTTGAAAGATTAGTTTTTGTTAATTGTTTTAGTTTTCATTTATTTGGTCTTTGTTTTGTTTAAATCTATTAATTAAAATGGTTTAAAAAAAAAGCATTTAGAAAATTAGCTGTAAAAGTTCTGCTCTAATCTTCAGCCTACACCTTTTCAGTCAGTAATGCCTTCTTTCTATTTGATTCAGTTCTTTAACTTTTTAAACCTTTAAACCAATTTATATAATATAATTTAAGAAGGGAAAAAACCCCAAACAAAAACAAGAAAACCCCACATATATCTTCTGATGTGCATATAAAAAATGTATTGGGCCACCTGTCATAAAAAAACACATTTTAGAAATCTTTAGAAAACTTGTTTAAACCACAAATTATTTTGTTTATTAGGCAAATAACAAACTGAATGTATGTTTTCATACTCAAATTTTAGCTAAACTGCAGTAATGCAATATATGCAATACATTTAAATTGGTATCTTAATCAAAAAATGTGCTTTACTGTATTTTTTATTTATTTATTTATTTTAAACAGTGAATCTGAAAATTCATGCTAACAACAGTAACTATATTTACCTTAGCTTGTATGTACTGGTGGATTAACAATTACTGGAACATTTAAAATGAGTCTGGTAATTTACCAGTACTGTTAATTTAGTGCAGCTGTGGCACAAACCTTAAAATCGGTGGCGATCTAATAAATTAGTTCTTCCTTTTGGCTCTTTCTCACAAACGCTAAACCTCCATTTAAGATGCACATCTATCAATCAACCATGTAACCTGCATTTATAAATTAAAGACCTTTAAGCAACGCAAACATAAAAGAAATAAACTACAACAGTGCAGGAGATGTGTAGAGATCTGCTTATTGCTTTTATTGCTTGTATCGGTGGCGACTGTTGCTCGACAGATGTTTCCAGCTGTAGTCTTGCATTAATTTGTCCATAATAAATCCAATCTGTTATACTAAGGTCAAAGTTTATTGAGCTATTTCTGTTTCTGGCTCTACTCAGCTGAACCTTTGTTCACGAGGTCACCTTATCTGTGCTGAATGGTGAAGTATGGTGTGATGGTCGTGCATCAGGGCTTTGTGGAGACAAGTCTTCTGCGATGTGGGTGTATGGCTAATGTGGCAGTTGATCAGTAAATACCTCCAAGCTGGCTGCTTGCTGAACCACATTGTCTTCCTCGTGTTACATACAAGATGTTGTGTGGGTGTGGCAGCTTAGGAATTTTTGGAAGGCATTTTTGCTTTTTTTGTTTTTGTTTTTTCGGAGCTTGGCTGAAAAATAGAAAATAATAATAATACACTCATACCAGGCTAAGATGCATTATTCTGCTTTTGAGAAATACTTTCTTAATTAGTAATAAGCGATGAATATCATTTTTCAAGGATCAGTTGTCAAGTGTCTGTTTCAGTCAGCCAGTGAAGAAATAAGAGCTCGCTCCTCGGTGTGTTTTCACTGCAATTTGACCGCTGTTGAGCTTTCCTAATCCTCCTATGTCAAACCAAACTTACCCTGGGCATTTCCCTCCAAATAAAAACTCTCCGCTGTCCTCCGTGTCCAGGTTTCATTATGAGCGAGCACCTTCACGCTCGCCCTCCTTCAGAGGATGATTGGTCAGTCCCCCACCCTCCCTGCTGCACTCCCCTTATTCTCTATCTCTCTTCCTACTTAAATACTTTTAGCATAAAGAGTGAGAAGGAGGGGAGGGGGATGGGAGATCCATGGGGGAGGGGAGCTGAGCGCTCGCTCTGTCACTGACGAGGGAGAGAAAGAGGGAGGGAGGGGGGGGAGAGAGAGAGAGGGAGGGGGGGAGAGAGAGAGAGAGGGAGGGAGAGAGAGAGACGAATTGTGTCCCATATGTGGGGAAAAAAGCATAGCAGTGCACATGCAGGTCTGGTCTGCTCCAGGGATTATCCTAGCGCTTTCAGATCTGATGGAGGACATGCAGGCATGAATAGGTAAGACTGCTTGTCTTCTCTGCATCTATGTGTTTATCTGCTGTCATAGCCCGCTGCTATCCCTGCTGTTTGACTTGGCCGGGCTGAAGTTGGAGGAAGACGGGAACTGAGCGTGTTGAAACAGCTCTCCTGTTTGGCCAAGGACCATGAGACATTTCCTTGAGAAAACTCAGCTTTCTCTGCCTTCTCCCTTCAGCCTCGCTCTGACCTGTGCTGATGCAGGGCAGTGTTTGCTTTAAGTGGGAACTGTGGTTTGCCGCTGTAGTGTGCATGTTATTCTGGGCTGAGTGGTAAAAGTTGACTGTCAGTCGGAGCAGAGTGGGTTTGTAGTCTGATACTGTGTTGTTGCCTGTTGGTGTCCACAGATAGCCTTGTGGTCATTGCGTAATTTCTCTTCTATGTGAACAGTACATTTATCAATATAAATCTGTATTTAATAGGTTTGTTTTAAAGCGAACAGACTGCTGCCAAAAGTATTAACAGAGCATTAAATAAAACGGTTGTTTAAGACTTGGTTTACATATCTGAGATTATGTAATTTATGACTTTTAATATTTGACTTATAAATGAACTGTAGATTCTACAGATGTGGTTTTCACAGAAAGCATTAATGACCCCAAAGGCTCAATGAAAAAACTTTCATGGAAATATTTTATTTGCACGGCTTTTTCAGAGAGGTGCTCCAGATGAGAAAAGCATAATAAAAACTAGAAGGTTAAGCTGATTTGAGTTGGTGCGTGATCAAAATTTCTTTCACAACTTGACTTTTCAACCTAAATAGAGACTTGGTGTAATTTAATGTGCTTTATCTTTGAAAGTAGACAAAAACAATAGCTGGTTATATTTAGATTTCCACATTAAAAATACATTTTAAATCATTTTACAGCTGAAGCTGATGTGTTTGGACAGCTGGACAGCTGGAACTTTGGCTATATCTTTCCCCTGCATTTTGTTAGTACGGCTCCAAAAGTGCTCTGTGTCCTAAGAATGCAGTCTTTATTGCCCCAGTGCACAGAGCAATGGTATGCATGAGTCTTTTTGTGAGGCAGATTTAGAAAGCCCTCTTTAGAGGCTGGATGCAGCCTCACAATCAGCTTAATGCCTGCCTATAATGAACGCCCTTGTGCGCCTCAGTTTGGTAGACTGAGTGCGTGTGTGTGTTTGTGTTTATATCAGTTTGAATTCTGTTCTTGTTACGCTGATCGGGCTCTTGGGTTGGTCAATAATTCCATCAAATTCCGGTTCAATCTTGTGTTTGGATGCGTGTTGGCTTGTGAGCTCGCCTTGCAAGCATTGGTTGACGTTTGAGTGTCCACACAGTGCAGCAGCCAGTAACTCCCTCACCTCTTTTTCTCTCTCTCTCGCTCTCTCAGGGCTGTTCTGTTGTCAGTGCAACCTCATGCCAGTGATGGACTACAGCCGGACGGGCACTAACCTTAGCTGGCATTCACAAAACAGCCTTCCTCCTTATTGAGACCAGCTCCACAGAATGCTGAGTCCTATTGTCCCTTATAGTGAGTACACTATACCCTTCTCTCTATCTGCTCTGCACACCAAACGGCCTCATTCCCTCACTTGGACTTTGCCTTAATCAATGAGTCTCCGTTCCAAAAATACACAGGAGCGAACATCGTGTTTGTGTAGTTTGCAAACAGAGGAAGAATTGACAGTTGATCGTGCAATCAGAAACGTGTTGGGCTTTTTTTCCTTTTCTTTTTTTCCCTTTCCTGCTTGACGTGCGTTGTGGAAATGCTAAACCCCGGGCACTGGCCCTGTGTGAATGTTTCATCAGCAGACGGAAGACACAGATGGGGAGAGGAAGAGGTTGGAGGGCTGATGGTTTAAGCTACAGAAACCCTTCAGTCCTCAAAGTGTCATTTTACTTACACACACACACACACACACATGCACACACGGCCTCCTGCCTTCTCTGCTTTTTCCTCCTCCCCTCTCTCTATTCTCCCTTCAATGCTGATCTAATAACTAACATGTCCAGTGTTCGTCTCCCCCTTTGCACCCTCCCACCAGGTTTCATTTGAGTCAGAGTCCAGTGCTCCGGCTCTCCGAAACGGCATTGTTTGCCGGCCAGCATGGGGCTGCCTCCGTGGCCTCGGCCTCGAGCGCCTTTTTCCCATCTCTTTAAATGGCCTCAAAGGAACATTATTGGCTTGACAGTTACAAGAAAAGGAGGAGAAATCACATGGAAAGGTCAATTTAAAAAGTATTACTTAAAAATGGTTTGTAGGAACTTTTGATTGTGTTTTTAAATGTGGCTTCGGTCGCAGTGTAGGCGAGCGCGTGGGCGTGTGAATTCAAACTGGAAAACAGAGTTTGATTAAAGCATCACGAGCAGATGTTTGACAGTAACCATGGCTGTTTGTTTGCTTTTGGTGGATTTCACCCTCTAAATGCCCAAATAAGTAGCTGACCTCTCGTTTTTGTTTTGAAACCGGTCCGTTCACAAGTGGCTCGTGGTTGAAATATTGCCAGCTCCCAGAATTTTTTTAATTTTTTTGATTAAACGCTGTTTATAGTTCAGACCCTAATTAGACCGAGTTTGGCCGTGCATTTGAAAGGCCTGTTTCGCAGGTTACTCCTTTAGTTCCCTGCAACCTGCGGGTCCACACTCACTAGTTATACTCGGCGCTGCTGAAATGGACAGCGAGTCTAAGAATGTCACAAAGTGATGGTGGAATAGTAAGCATGCCTTCGGAGATGACACACTGTTGGTCCTTCATAGGACTCTTCCGGTACATTATGTTTTAGGCTTTGTGGGCCTCTGTGTGTGGCTTGCTGTTGTGATCAGGACACACAGTGCTTCTTTTCATCTTCTCAGATCAACAGCTTGATGGGTTTTCATGTGTGGTGCATTTCTGTTCTGCAGTGTTTCTGCAGCGGCGAGCTCATTTCAGAGCGGCCTGCTAGTATTTGTGCATGCAAAGTTCACACAGGGGATTGTATGAGCATGTGCAGCAGTGTTCGGTAGGCTTTGCCGTTTATTCTCAGACCAAGCGTGACACACAAATATGCCCCTGTGCTTGATTGTGATGTCTCGGCGTACTGTCTTTTAGATAAGGACGCTGAGTATGTGCAGTGCATGTGAAGACTCTCACTTCCATGTTGGAATCCCCTTTGTGGGAATGTGGAGCATTCCTGCTTCCCAGTGCTACTTCTGACTCCTGCTGTTGGCATTTCTGTTCTGAGTCAAGTCCCCTTGTATGAACACAAACAAGGTGACATGTGCTTAGGACAGGTACACCGACACAGAGTTTAAAGGGGGGGGGGAATCAGAACCACTTCGACTTAATGAATAAGATGTCATAATTATTCGGTGTCTGAGTGTCTGATTCTATATTAGCCTGTTCAGCCCTTGTCCCCGTCTCCGGCCAGTCCAGAATACTTCAAGCTGGGGTGAGCAGCTATGGCCGGACCTGCGGAGAAACCTGAGAGAGATTCCAGGGGCCATGGATACTCCTGGAGGGATTTGGTGCAAAGAATCTGTAATCTGCACTTCAAACACACTCTTAAATCAGTCCCAGGCCGCCAACCCAAGAGTGCCCTAACTCTTGTTGCTGGGGGCCCCTGCTGGTGTAGCAGTACCTTTTCTTTTAAAACAGAATGCATGCGCACACACATATATACAAACACACACTCCCAGAGCGACTACACACAAGAGCCCAGATCTGCCAGTTTTTATAGCTCTCTCCTCTGACTGACCCCTCTCCTTTCTCTCTCTTGCTCTGTTTTTGTGTTTTGTGTGAGTGTCTTTGTGAATGACTCCGGCAAGTCATGGAGCGTTTTTGTATGGAGGAAAAAAGACTAGATCTCATCCCGGCTCCTGAAGGAGGAGGTTGGAGGGCCGTGCCAGCGCGTATCTCTATTGTAGGCAGAGTGGTATGAGTGGTGCAGTAGAAGGAGGTCTGTGAGGCCCTTGAGTAAACACACAGCCTAAAGTGTGTGCGAATAAGTGCTAGGATCATTAGTTTGGGTGTGAATGTGTTCCAATTAGCCACCAGAGTGTGTGCGTGCGTGTTTGTGTGCGTTTGCGTCTACGTCCACAAGAAAAGAAGGTTAGGAACCCAGGCCCTGTGAGTTCACGGGCTCTGTGGTTTGTCTCTCTACGGGTTTATCAGCTCATTAAGGAGGCCTCCGCTCCCATTAAGGGTCCAATTAAGAAGCAGGGTGGTGAGGCTCATTCGGGTGGCAGTGCTGAACTGGATTCCTGAGGCAGCAGAATTCAGAGCTCGACAATGTGACACGTCTTCCACACCAGCAGAGCTAATTAGTAAATTACTACACTTGAGAAATAACATACTTTAATTGTCGTGTCTCGAGTGTTTGTAGGTGTTTGTAGTCTAATGTCCAGAAAACGCTCTGCTAGAAAGAAGAGAGGCTGTGGAATGTCACTCGAGCTTTCTCTAATTTGTGTGTGTGTACCAACAGAAAACAACAAATCCCAAAGCTGTCCATGTGCCGCGAGTATAAGCTCAGAGCACAGAGGGACCAAGGGATTTGGATAGAAAAAAGGGGGGGATGCAAGATGCTCAGTGGGAATGTGGGGGAATAAGGGAGGTGGAGAAGCGGAGAAACACAGATAGGAGATTGGAGGGAAAAGACAGAGCTGAAGAGGAGGAGATGGAGCGAGAGAGAGATTGGGTGGGTGAGACAGATGGAAGGGGTGATTGGTCATCACAGAGCCTTAGGACAGCTGTTCTTTGATATATTAGTGGACACAATGACCTAAAGCCAGCCTGTAGTCACAGAAAATAGGGACCCTGTTTTTTTTGTTTTTTGTTTTTGTTTTGTTTTTTGTTTTTTTCCTTCTTGAAGGGAAGGCGGGTGGGGGGTCGACGGACCGCTGCCATTTGTGGACGTGCATTAGCAGGCACGGGGGATGGGGGAGTTGTTTCTAAAATTACGAGCATGAAGTGACGCATCCAGCAATTATTCTGGAGGCTTTCTAGTTTTGGAGAGTGCTGAGAAAAGCAGCGCAAAATGAGCGTGCTCGCTCTCAGGCAGGACTTTGCATTTTGCTGCACTCTCATTAGCAATTCTAAACACGTTTGTCAATTAATCAATGTTTAGCAAAATGCCATCAGGTAGTTTGGCCGCTGCTCCACCTCCATCCACTCTGCTTAAAATAGCAACTTTTAATGCCACAGAACATTAATCTGCCTCTAATTTACCCTTTTGTTTTATTTTGAATCGATATTTATTTTTTTCACTTATCCTAGTTACATGGCATTACAAAGGTATTAAAATTGTATCATTAAGTTTAAAAAGCCGCACACACTTTGGTCATTTTGTCCTTATCCTCTCATGAAGTAATATTAGCTTCACACGCTGACAAAAACTCTTCTGACAGCTGGCCTGGAACAATCCCAGAGGAGGGTGAAACAAAAAAGGAGTAAGTCAAACTGTCATTCTGATGCATGGAGTGCAGATAGCTCTATCCACAGAAAGATGAAAGTATAGAGATAGAGACACACATACACACAAAAAACTCACAGAGGACATCCCTCAATGCCACTGCAGGAGATGGGCTCTGTCCTCCTGGGAGTGTACTGGTGAGGCGTCTTTGAAAAGAGCTGCGTCTGCTCGCGCTCTGGGCAGCAGGTGTGAAAACTCCCCAACAGAGCTCCCGCACTCTTCTGTTATTACATCTTTTTAGGGACATGAAGAGGGAGCAGATGAGCCAGATGCAGCGAGAGGCCTAGCGCGGGATTGTGTTTCATTTGAGTGATAGCAGGCCTGCGACTGAGAATTAGATTTATAATAATTTTCCTCAGCAATCTCCAATTATGCATGCCTGATATATGATGATCCCCGCTGGTCGGGTGCGCATTATCCCCGTTTTAACGTGGGTCGACGAGGGTCCGAAGAGCCGACCTCTAACGGCGTTTTGGCAATACCCCACACAATCACAGAGGCTCCTCTGCGACTGTGGGGTAATAATGCACAGGGTGACTCGACACGGTGTAACGCGAGTGTCGTACGAAATAATCCAAAATTTATGGCAGGAATTTATTATCTTTATCACCGTCTTCAGGTCTGAACTGTGCAAGGGGCTGATAAAATGTGTATTTCATACCAACGTCCAGAGACAATTTTCTACTCTGTCCACCAGCTAGGCTGTGAAATGTGGCCGGTGTCTCCGATTGGTGTTTTTACGACACACCGGTAGCATGCAGCAGCATACAGCCTAGAAAGAATGCCCTGCTTGATATTAGTATCATAAATCATAGTGAACTTGAGAGCAGAGGACTTCAAGGGCTTGAAACAGCAAATCAAGATAACATACATACACAAGAGATTTTCAGTTGCTTCGTGGTTTGCGTGCTAAACTGATGATCATTTGGGAGATTTCCTATTCAAAGCAATGTGTTGGGTTTTGAAAACGAGCAGTTGTGTTTAAAGAGTTCAGACGAAAAAGGAAAAAAGTCTGTCTTACATATGTATAAGTGCCAAGCGTGAGTTTCGTCCAATAACTCATCGATCAGGTTGTGCTCGCTGAACACGTCCCGACTGATGCGGTCATTGGAACATCAACTTTGTGCTTTATCAGCACAAACACAACGCCCGTCACACTTTGCCCTTCTCCACTTTCATTCCCCTTTTGCAATATCGGTGTGCGGTGCTTTGTGTGACTGCGCCCCTTTTAAGCTTTTTTTTCTTCTCCCTTTTTGAAGTGGCTGTTTTCTGAGAAGTTGTCTCAATTGAATTCCTGACACACTGCCACAACAGCCGGAGCAGCATTCTCAGAACAATTTGACACTGTGCTCTCTGCAACTTTTTGTTCATAGGTATTGAAAGAATTTTGTTTTAGGCATCAAGTCTACTTTTTCATGTTTACTTTCAGGTAGAATAGCTGGCCAGACTTGGAGGGTAACTCTTTATATTACCAAGACTGCAAATTTTAAGTTTATTTAAGCAATCATTTCTATCAGCTTAGCTTTTCTTGTTAATAAATAAAATATTAGAAACAATGTAACAAATGCATTAACTTTGGTGTTGTGTAGATGTATTTATTTTCTGGTCTGTGGATGGGGCGGAGCTGAACTCTGAATATATCCCAGATTAAATTGATCCAAAGCTCTCTTGTTTACAAGCGGCCCACAGTCCCAGAAGGCTTGTTGCATCCGTGTCCGTTTTGTTCCTCGAGGCCGGGAAAACAAAAGTGCCGGGAATGGAGAAGAGGGGGGGAGCAGCAACCTCAGGGGAGCTGTGAAATGGCACTGGAGCCCTCCGTCTCGGGGCTTCCAGCCAAGATAAGGTTTCACCTCACTCACTGATACTTATTTTATAGGAAACCACAACGCAGTCGAGAGCGATACCAGCCTTTATGGGCCACGAGCTACTTCAGTTTCAGCCAGTCAACAGGAGACTCTGTGACTTTGCAGGTGGCAGATCTGAGCATTTGAGGGCAGAAATCACAGCACTCCCCACACGCTCCCCCGTTTGGCATAAGTAGTCTAATTTTAATTTTAGGGCCTCCTCAAAGGAAAGCTGGTCTCTGCTGAAGTGAGCTGTGCCACTGTCTTCATCACACACACTCCTACAATGGGATGCAGCTCACACAAGTTCCTCAATAAATCCCAGGCTGACACAAAAGCTGTCAGTAGACTGCTGCTGAATAGATTAATAAGATTTCCATAATTAGACAGGGCCCTGACAATAGGATCCTTTAGGCTTTGTCTCAGGGCCAACTGGATTGTCCGATCCGTGCACGTCTGCTGGATGGTCGTCCGCCACAATGGCCGCACAGACAGTAAGGCGGTCAGAACATCTGTCTCTCCTGGGGCCAAGAACACACACAAACAGTGGGAAGTTTTATATGCATACACAGAAGGTTCTTATCAACCTCCCCACACTCAGTCGCACTCGGTCAACAGAAGAGCCATGTCATTATCTGTGTATATTGAACTTGGTCACTGCAAGTGATTTTTATTCACTTTAAATTTAACAGCGTAAGTGATGAAAGAGAAAACATTACACACTTTATATTTAGATCACAGAGGAGCTTTACTTTGTATTGTTAGCATGAAGAAAAGCTTCGATTGTATTGGATTCATATTTGTAAACAATATTCAAATCATAAAAGTCGTCTTTTATATGAGACGGAGTTCAGGGGATGGTGGCGCATAAATAAAAATATCAGCTCATCAGTGTTACTTGCAAATGGATTACAACATTTAGTGATTGCATTAGCAGCGCTAATGCTTCTATGTCACAACCCAGCATCGCATTAAAGCATGTATTGAAGTTAATCTAATGATTGCACTGCTATCCACAGTATGTCCACATTGTCCTGATTTCCTACTTCTAATCTTAGGTTTCTTCCCGTCCCTCCAGTGAATTAATCTGCGCGATGGCTCTGATTTAAGCAGAAGTGTAGATTAGCGCTCGCTCAGTTCATTGTGGAGTGCTACTACTCCTACTACTAAAACCACAGTCCAGCACTGGGAAAGATCTAATTGCATGGGACGCTAAACTGCTCAGCAACCCCGCTGTTTTCATCAGGGGTGAATGATCACTCGCATCGCTCTGTGGAAGAATTATAATAACGCTCAGATTTAACAGTGAATTAGGTTTTTCAGTTACGGGCAGCTGGTCATTACTCCGGTCAGCGGGGTAGTGTACCATCCTGTATTAGAACTACTCTAATGATGGAGAGGACAGCAGTTAGCCCGCCTCACTGAGTCCTCTAATGTCTGCGCAAGTCTGCTTAGAAAGGACGAAGTGCCTGCTGTCCACTCTTTCCCCTCCCTGCCTCCATCCCTGCCTTTACCATCCCTCCCTCCCACTGCAGGTTTTATGAGCTCCCCTGGGCTCTCATCCATCTCTGTCACACACAGGCCCCATTATTGGGGCTGCTCACAAACTGGTTGGGCTGCAGATGGGAAGGGCCTGCAGGACATGTATATGGTTTCTGCAGCCTGGACAAAGACCTGCAAGTCAGACCAAAAAAAAAATAAAAGTGGTCATCTGGGTGTGGACAAGCCAATGTCTTCAGCATGTTTTTAAAAATAGAAGTGAACACAGTGCAAGACTGTTCTTGTACATCTTGTGGCCGTGGGTGTGAGGCTCTGTGGGTTGGGTGAAGCTTAGGGAAGCGCTTGAACTGGTTTGGCCATTGAGAACTTAAGGCAGTGCATTTGAATATGAAGGACATGATAATCCAATGGCCATCTGGTCTGCCGGTCTCATCTGACTGAATAAACAGGCGTAATCTGAAAACACACACGCGGAGGTTTGGAAATTGGGTAAGGAGGGAGGCCAAAGTTTGGGAGTGAGCTAGAGACCAAGAGAGCAGCAGCTTCTAATCTTGGACTGTGGATATTGAGCTTTGATTTAAATGGCAATAAGAGTCCTGGCTCCACACACACAGACAGCCATGAATAATGAATCATCAGGCGTCCGCTGAAGGAAAGGCAGAGACGGCAGCAATGATGACTTTCGCCATATTCCCTTTTACCTCCCGGTTTGTGACTGACGTAGTCCTCACCTTGGGGTAAATCATGACAGTTCAGTAATGCCAAGCTATGTGTGGAATGTCAAGCTAGTGCCTCAGCAAGATGCAGCACTCTTCATGAAATGAACAATCCTATAATTATAAGATTGTGATTTTGTTTTTTTTAAACCAGCTTTTAAACATTGTTAATTACATCCGTTGCATGAGGGGAAACATGAAAAACAGATTTTTCTTGCTCATCTCTGTCCTGTTAACTCAGCGATGATCAATTAGACCACTGCTGAAGTCAGCCAGAGGAACAGGCATTCCACTTTCCCAATGTTCCATAGGAGACTGTGCTGATGAATAGCACACTATGCTGCATTTCCAAACCCACCCACCCCCCTTTCTTTCTTGCTTTCTTTCTCACTCTCTCCACACCACTGTCCACACACACACACACACCCTTGTTCATTTCTCCCCTCCCCGTGTCCAGCCGGCCACTGGGCCTTTGGAGCTCTGGTGTACGGTGGGTGGGTGGATTGGTGGGTGGTACGTGGGGGGGCAGGGCGAAGAGAGCAGGCATTCAGAGCAACATGCACAGGGAGATAACAATAGCTCCTCTGGGAGATCTGCAGATGCTAGCAGTACAGGCAATAGTAGTGGGATCTTATCGCTACGCCAACATAAGCTGGGAAAGTGCGAAACAACACATCCAACCCACTGATCAGTTCCCCCCCGGTTTGCCCACAAATTAAAAATTAAAATGAAAAACTGAATTTTAGGCATTCTGACACTTTCTTTGTGTGTTTTAAATATAAATAAATAAATATAACCATGTTTAAGATCATGGAAAGTCTTGCTGTTACTGCACCCAGATGCCCATGTAAACGCCTACTGTGGAGAAAAACATGGCCATAGATGAACTTATATGATGACCAATAAACTTCAGGCTTTCCTGTCTAAATTTAAAGTGTAATGATTTTTCTGATGCAAGTCTACTTAGAAGAAAAATATAACTTTTATTTACTGTTTTTTTTGTTTTGTTTCTATCAGGCCTGTTAAAGATGCACTGGAACCCAGAGCATGCCCAGTCCCTCAGCCAGTGGCCTGAGCAGCACCTGGACGTCTCCTCCACCACCTCCTCTCCGGCCCACAAGTCAGAATTTTACTCTGGCCGTAGCCGCAGCTCCTACAACTACGCCTGGGCCAATGACGACATCTCTGCCCTTACAGCCTCCAACTTGTTGAAGCGCTATGCTGAGAAGTATGCCGGCGTGCTGGACTCGCCATATGACCGGCCTTCTGCTGTGGGCACCTATCCAGAGTCTGGGGCCTTTGGGAGCCTAAATAACCAAAAGACTGAGCTGGAGCCTTGGCCACTGACGCACAGCACTGAAGCCTATCCCCTGGGGCCTCCTGGAGGCCATGACAGCCATTCGGGGCCCAACGCAGCCAGTCCACGGCCCCGGGGATGGCAGCGTGTCAGTATTGAACAGTAACCTTTCAGACTCAGGTTACAGTGGTAGCAGCTCCTGCAGTGGGTCCACTGAGTACCCCTCTCGCTACAATGGCACCTATCTTTCCTCAGGTTTTTGTCCGCAACCCAACGCAGCACTTCCCCCTGCCTCTCTCCACACTCTCCAATCGACTCCCACTCTTGTGCCCAGCTATAGCCCTGCCACGCCAGTCTACAACTACCCCCCCAGCACATACCCTCCTCAGACCAGCCTTGCTCCTGGCTACAGCCACCCTTCTTCGACTTACCTCCCCTCAGGTCTACCGGCCCCTACCCCTGTTCCTTCAAGGCCCACTGTGGTAGGAGGCAGCTATAGTTATCAGAGCACAAGCCTTGGGACATCTGAATCTGGAGGGACATTGAAAAGAAAAGCCTTTGAGATGGGTGTTGAAGATGATGAGAGTGGGGACCGGTCGCGGTACAGGAAATACAGCTATGACCCTGTGAAGGCTGGGGGAAGCTCACCCTACAGTGTGAATGATAAAACGGATTGCCATGGAAATGGCTTCAGTAGTTCAGGCAGCACAGACCCTCAGACCTTCAAGCCCAGTAAGCCCTCCTCTCAGCCCTTGGTGTCTCCTCAGTTTGGGGCGGCAGGGCAGTACAGCCCTCCAACAGGCATGACGGGGGAGAATGGCATGACAGAACAGGGATTCACCCAGCAGCAGCAGCAGCATTCCCAGGCTGTCAAACACCCTCCATTATGTGCTCCAACTGCTGAGGCTATGAAGAGTCCAGACCCGCGGCTGTTAGACCTCATCAATGGGGAGTTATTGGACTGCATCCCCGCATTGGGCTGGGGTGAGCTGGCTGGACTCACACATGTCAAAGCTGCCCTGGAGGAGGACCTGATGTGGCCCGTGTTGAGGCCAAGTCCAGTGGTGCAGCCACCAAGAGCCGTCCTGCTGTTCGGCCCCAGAGGAGGGGGTAAGACGACATTGACTCGCTCACTGGCTTCGCAGTTAGGGGCCTCCTTCTACCGTTTGAGTGGAACCATGCTGGCCTCTAAAGGGAAGCCTGAGGCAGAACACATTCTGGGGTCTCTGTTGCAGGTGGCGGGGGCACGGCAACCCTCAGTTGTGCTACTTAGTCAGGTGGAAGCCATGGAAGAGGAGGGCCTTAGGCAGGTACTGCTGAGCACCCTGGAGAAAGCTCAGGTGGGGACCACAGGTCTGGTGATTCTTGTATGCGCCACTGGAAGGCCAGATCTGCTGCAAGATGCTGTCCATCGGAGCTTTGCTAAGCGATACCACGTCGGCCTACCAGATGTGGCTCTGCGCAGAGAGGTGCTGCTGCAGGCTCTGTCGCCCCAGGGCTTCAGCCTGAGCGAGAGGGAGCTGAACGGTGTGCTGCAGCGCACGGAGGGCTTCACTGTGCGGGAGCTGCTGCAGCTCAGCCAGCAGGTGCTCTCGTCAGCATCCTCCTCAAATGGAGCCATGCACGGCCTCACCACGTCCAGCAAACCCCCCGACTTTACAGACTTCGAGAATGCCTTCTGCAAGGTGCGGCCACACACCACCGCAAAGGAACTGGACACTTGTGTAGAGTGGAGCAAGATGTATAGCCACTGAGAAAGCAGCCAGTCCCAGTACTCGGACTGCATTATGACCCTGTCTCTGCATCGGCATAGAAAGCCTTTGGAATGTTTTTGTTTTTTGTAATTACAGATTATTCAGCCAAAAGAGCCAGAGAAGCTCACAAACATGGGAGAGATGACAAGGTTGTTTCACTGGCAGAAGCATGCAATGATGTGCTGTTTTTGTTTTGCTGTAAATACCCGCAATATTTTGTTTTTCCCAAAGAAAATAAGGATGGGGCTTGTTTAAGTGTATTAGTAGTTTGGCCAATGGGAAAATCAGATAGCTGTTTTATGACTCAGAGATCCTGATTAGCCTGGGTCCAGGACAAAATCAATTATTTGTTGCAAGGTGAAGCGGTCCAAGCTTATGGATAATCAGGGTTTGGAAAATCCCTCCCCCTTGGCTGCTACTCTCAGGATCCTATTTATTACCAGTCCACTTCCATGGTTTCCAAATGTTGATTTACTCATTGAATTGCCACTAATCATTCAGTGCAAAGGGCTTGGGATCTGCAACATTTCAGCAAACCAGTTTTGACCAAAAAAACTTGTTAAACCAAATACAAAAGCAGCAGTAGTCTCAAATTTCTCCAAATGGGCTGGTTCTTCACATCGGTGTATTGATGTTGACAGCTTGTTACCAAATCACGAAACAGCAGCTTCTCCTTACTATTCTGCATCTTTTATTTCCTGTCATGTTAAAGATCACATACTTAATTTTGTATTATTCACATTCCGCCTTAAGTCCAGTTTCCCTCGAAATCTTCAATTAGAGCCACATTAATCCACCTGCACATCCAGCTTCTCCTTCAGCATGTCTGTTTTTTTGATTTCACTTACTGCTTTTTTTTTTTTGTAGTATGTAGTCATGTTTGAAATGCTCAGGAAGAATTTTACCTCAGAAATATGAAATAAAGAATGTATGTAATCGTAGGGTCTTAGTAGAGAGTGGCGGAGCGTGAGATAAAGGTGCGAGGGGAAACCTGACGGTCTTGTAGTACCCACTTCAACGAGGCTTTTACCTCGGGAGAGAAACTTGAATCTGCTACAAAGAGTAACATTGAATGTAATTCAGGTATTTCAAAGGATTTTTGATGCCATAAATCCATGTATTATTATATATGAATATATACATTTTTTCCCTGTTCTTATAACCTTTATTTTTATTGTAGTTTATGGTGAAGTGACGATTGTGTTGAAGAAATGCTATGTAGAATACAGAAAATATTCCTTTTTTGTTGGACAAACTGCTTGCAAAAATCTGTGATATCTAGTGTTTACACATCCTGCATATGCATGTCTGCTTTATGATTTCACTGCTGCGTAACATCACTTGAAACTGTAAATACAATAAACACACACAATCACCTACGACGAAGCACAAGATGCCATCCAAAAAGACGAGTTTTGAGAAGTATGTGTAGCTTTTAACAAATCCCAAAGTATGAAAATTCACAGCTGATGTGTACATATTACATATGTAGACAATCCAAAGCAATCTCCCCTTTCCCAGCAGCTCTGTGGTTGTTTTAATAAGTGGGAAAAACCCGTCTTTTGTCTGCAGCAGCAGAGGTTGTGTGCATTAGACTGTTGCCATGGTCCTGAGGAGGTATAAACAGAATGATGTAATATTTCCTACCGTCCTTCTCCTCTCTCCGCCTCTCCCGCCCTCATCACTCTTTTTCTTTTTTTTCTGGTTTTCTCACTCCCCGATGCAATCTCATTAGATTGGATTGCCCCCTGGCCACAAAACCCAGTGGCCATGTGGCGTTGCATCTTCTCCCCACCCCCTTCCCCTCTCCTTATACCGATTCCTCTGGAGTGGAAGGGGTCTGATTGATGTCCAGCAACCCTATAGCACAGTGCAGACCTCCATTTCCAGTTGGTAGCTTCAGTCATGCCATACAGCCCCCACTGACTAAACTGATTGCCCTCTTGGAAATTCAAAGAAACACTTTTTCCAACTAGCAGAACAACCCCTGGCCCATCAGCGTTGTGCTGGAACTGCAAGCGATAATTCATTTGGTAATTACATAAATTTAAAAAACCTTTTGATTGCCTGTTCCCTGTACTTCTCACAGTTTGTCCAACAAAACAAGCTTTTATTGTGTACATTTGGATCTGTTATCACAGTAACTTTGTTCTTGGTTATTGTACATTTTCTGTAACCATTTCTACCTCATTTTTGCGGCATATTGTACATGAAAGTATTTATTTCATGTCTTTTTTGATGTCTGTTTAAAAAAACAAAAACAAATGATTATGTTCTTGAACTGTAATAGTCTACCTCAGAAAAGACTGTATTTTAAGATAAGAGTATCATACAATATTAAACAGAATTTGTCAATATTACTTTGTACTTATTTCGTTGCAGTTTTTCACTGGTTGACGTAACAGTAATAGCTATGGTTGATCCCAGCATCGAGGTCAGTTGCTTACATAGACGGTGTGTTGTTTTACGCACAAAGTTAAATCATAGGGCTTTGGATCTTTTTAGCTTGGACTGAATTAACACAGTTGGTTGCACAGTCAGCATATTAAGTGCTGTTAAAGACAGAAAAGACTCCTGTAAATGTGAGTAATGAAGATAAGGCAACCGAGGATACTGTGCACATAATTTTGCCAGTCTGCAAGCGTGTGTGTGTGTGTGTGTGTGTGTGTGTGTGTGTCTGCTGTAGCATCCAGAAGCAGTGCGAACACACCCCTGAGGCTTAAGGCCCAACACCAGAGCACAGAGGTCCTTCATCCCTGTCACTGTCTGTAAACAACAGCTCGTCCCAGCGGCCTAGCCTGCGCTATTTCTGGCCTTTTCCTGACATCTTTCAAACACTCAAAACTAAAAAGTAAATTTGAGCAACTCCATGCAAATAAGTAAAAGTTTAGCTTAAGTCTGAAAACAGAATCCGTCACTCCTCGGTTACAGGTTGTTAAAGGGCGTTTTGAAACATCTGAATGAATCCCGGTGGAAGCGTGGTGCTGCTGGCGTTAATGACAAGAGTAATTAATTGCCTAATAATGATACATAGCTCTGTTATAAGCACAACCTTGTGCAGCAGCTGCCCTTCATCCTCTGGTGAAGGATAATTGTCTCCGCAGCTGTTTAAAAATTATTTAATATCTTTTGCTGTCACAATCCCGATAACATTATCTGCAGAACAACATAACCTTGTAAAGGTAGACGGATCACGCAGTGGCTGTGGGAGAGTTTTCAGAGTACAATGATGAATAAATATGCTACTAATATTTTACCAACTGTGGTCTGAAGCCAACGCGTTTTTCTGCAAGCAGCAGACGCATATAAAGCTATAAAGTGCTGCCCTCACTACTTGATGACACTGCAGTGAGGGGGTTTGCAATTATTTGACCAAATGAGGGTACTTAAAAAAAAAACCCATATGGTTACCTTCTGCATTTAATACTTTTATATCCTGACGTCCATCCAGGAAGAGCCTGAAAAGCAATTTGTCCTTTTTGTCCTACAGTGGGTTCTGTCCTCCAGGAAGTCAATCATTTTTGTCCCCCTGCTGATTGGAGGTAATTAGGCGAGCAGAGTTTCTAACTGGATAATAAAAGATGCTAATGAGTCGCTGTCCTATTTACTGATAAAGTGGTAGTGAATAGCAGGACACAGCTCAGCCACATTTCCCTGACGGCGGCACACAGAAGCAAAGATTCAGAATAATATAAAATTTATATTTATTCATTGCCAGACTAATTTCTTTATTTGGGTGGGTTTAATATGAAGTTGTGGTCATGTAAGATTAACAAGATGTTCTCAAATGAATCTAACCAAGACATGGACTGATAATACGTGTTTTTAATATCTGCTTGTATATTTGATGTTGTGCTCTCAGATCAGGCAGCATAAGACTGAATATTTTCCAGCGTGCGCTCAGACTTCATAACTAATGACGATGATGTTCATCGTCATTGAATGCTCCCGATTTGAAGGTCCCAAAACCCGAATGTTATTTATGGTAACAACTATCATTAAAAAAAGGGTCATTCTCTGAATCTCACTTCACCCCGACACAGATCTCCTCCCTACCTATACGTGCTGCCGGCCTTCCATTGTACAGGCCTTGATACTGACAAGGTTGACATCAGAGGGCAGCTCTGACACAGGGTGAGTTAGGACTGCCAGCTGTTAGCAATCAAGTCTATTTTGAAGTCAGGGACACACAGACCCCCAGGGCCAAAGTAGCAACTAGCCCAGCCCCTCACTCCCCAACCCACTCAAATCAGCCTACAACCTCCGAGCCCCCCGGTCCCACAGATAGCTAGCACATCTGTATTGGTTCCAGATGTTGCAAACTTGCACTGAGCGTCCTTTACCTAAGAGCACCCCGAAACAGCGTCAGAGAAGCACAGAGCTTAGTGCAGAAATCTAAAGAATATGCTCCAGTGCCTGCCACACTGGTGACAGAGAAATCACATTGTGGCAGTGTGCAGCCCTCCTAGAGAATAAGCTCTTTGTCATTTAACATTAGCTATAGGCTCTCTCTTTAATAACAGGCATAGCTGTTACCACAAATACCTGAATCTAATCTTTTAGGCTTTAAATATTTTGCCATTTCCGAAAAGAGAGACAAGGGCTAAGGAGACAACACCGGGGAAACGAAAGAATAATCATCAACACAATTATTATGTAAAGTTTGCACCTTCAAGCCACATACGTAATGGAAAATCCGCACTGAGCAAGAAAAAACAAAGGACACAAAAGAAACTGCTCAGGTTCTTTTAAAGGAAAAGCTCAAGCCTTTGCCGCAGCATTGTTTCTGTGTTGGTCAATCAAAGCTCTGAGGAAATTAGATCTGACAGGTGGAATGTCCTGCTAAAATACTTTGGCCTCTGCCCCCCGCTCACATGACCAAAGTGTGATCACTGAATAAATAAATAGTAAATAGATATACAGGAGAAAAAACAGACTGTGTGTTTAAGAACAACGAAAAATATATATCAGTGAGAGAAGAGCATTAGACAGGGATACTTATAGAAGGGGATCAAAGGGTTAACATTAGATATTCTACTAGGTTAGATTTGCTTGATGCTGGGTAGCCTGCAGATGCTCCTGTGCGGCGCTACATTTCATATCCCTGAACATGTGGCAGATTGTATGTATGTCACTACTCCCCCCCTGTGGCTAATCCGTGAAACCGCAGAGCCACAAGTGACAAAATTATGTAAGGAATCCACTCTTGATTCCCCTGAACTGAATTTTTGCAGAGTTTTTGTTTTATTCTTGTGCAAATTCCCATCAACATATACATTCATGCAAACTTCTCTCTCTTTCTCGGATTATTAAATTATAATTACACTACATTCAATCTCGAGTTGTTTTGAAATCACCAACCGTGATAATAAAATAGGATGTGAAACACCGACGCTGTCAAA